TTATACCCAGCGCCAGCATCGAGCGGCTCCCAGGGACAGGGGGGACAGTACAGAGCTCCCTCTACATCACCATGACAGCGTAGCCTACTCCCTCAGCCCCCACTTTATACCCAGCGCCAGCATCAAACCTGTCTGTTCTCTCTTTCAGAAGCGCCATCCTCAGGACCCCTCCTGCGTGCCCCGTTTGCCCGGCCGGGTGCCCACAATGCCCCCGTGACCCAACAGGCCCCTGAGGCGCTCCCTTGGGCCTTGGCCTACTCGCACACAGAGCGCCTGAAGGAACAGGCGCCCTCGATCGTGGACCGCAATGTCAAGAACCTCCTGAACTACACCATGGACATCGACAAGCAGGAGGCCACTCTGGAGCGGCCCTTGCTCCCTCTGCTGCCCTCCGCCTCCTCCTCGGTTGCCCCGCTCCCCTCCTCCCCTCTGCCTCACCCGCAGCGGCACCGACGCCGCGCCACGTCTAGCGTGCACCTGGGTGCGGTCCTGGACTCGGAGGACGCCCAAGAAATTCTCAGCGGGTGAGTGGGCCGGCCGGGGTCAGTGGGAGGGGCGCGAGGAGTTTGGCGGGAAGAGGTGTTAGGGATTCGTTAGGGCCCGGGCCAGGAATCGGACGTGGTCCTTTGAGAGGGAGCGAGAGCCGGAGGATGGAGAAAAGTGAGGGCGGCAAAGGGTACAGAGCTCCCTCTACATCACCATGATGGTGTAGCCTACTCCCTCAGCCCCCACTTTATACCCAGGGACAGGAGGGACAGTACCGAGCTCCCTCTACATCACCGTGATGGCGTAGCCTACTCCCTCAGCCCCCACTTCATACCCAGCGCCAGCATCAAGCGGCTCCCAGGGACGGGGGGGCATGATACAGGGCTCCCTCTACATCACCATGACGGCGTAGCCTACTCCCTCAGCCCCCACTTTATACCCAGCGCCAGCATCGAGCGCTCCCAGGGACCTGGGGGGGACAGTACAGAGCTCCCTCTGCATCACCATGACGGCGTAGCCTACTCCCTCAGCCCCCCACTTTATACCCAGCGCCAGCATCGAGCGCTCCCAGGGACCTTGGGGGGGACAGTACAGAACTCCCTCTACATCACCATGACGGCGTAGCCTACTCCACCCCTACTTGAGCAGGGAAGGATACCTGAAGGGATAATGAGGGCAGACAGAGGGGGAGACGTAGGGTGAGGGATGGGCGCAGTTGTCATACGCAGCGCCAGCAGCAGGGGGGGGGGGGGCGGGGGGGTGGGGGAGGTCGAGGGGAGTCGAGGGGGGATGTCGGGAGGGTTGTTGGGGTGGTGGTTTGCGATGAAGAGTGCGTTGGAGGGCCGACGTGAGGGTAGATGAGGGACGGGGTATGGCGCCAAGTGAGGGTCTGATGTGGGCATCCAAAGTTGTTGGGGAGGGGGGTGGTTAGTGGGTGGGGGTCAGGGGGCGAGTGAATATTTGAGGGGAGGCATGGGTTAAGCTGGAACAGCCTGGGGCTGGCACAGACGGCGACGCCACCCCAGTTGATTAGCCGTTTTGTGACTCCTTTCTCTTGCTCACCTCCCCTGCCCACCCCCGCCAACCACCAGGAAGCCATGGTTCCTGCAGCCCAATGATATCAAGTTGGTCCTGTGCAATGTGGCACAGAGGGATGACTGCATCTCCTCGGAGGTGATCAACGACTGGATGGGGATCGAGACAGCTCACCTCAGCTTCGGCTCCAAGGTCAGGAGCTAAAATGGCTACCGGGAAGGT